AAATCTAATTGTGCCCCATCTACCTGTGTAAAATTCATGAACAGGTGGCCTTCCCTTTCTGCATTTCCTTCATGTTGATTAACCTTCTTTCCAGTAAATATCTGCCATCAACTTACACAGGAGCCTCCCCCCGCAAGCTTTTCTGGCTTCTTCCAGCCATCTTGCAATTTGGCAATACCTTGTAGGCTCTGATAATCAGTTTCCTTCCTTCTAGGTCAATTGTTCTTTCCCATTCTCATAGAATGAAAGCTGGAAATTTTCCCACAGAGTTTTAGGATGCTGCTTCATTCATCTGGTGCCTGGGATGGTTTTATATGATTAAAATAAAAAGTGTCCTAGACTTCATGGTTTTGCATTGTAAGTGGAAAGATAATTAAAAATATAAAATTAGAATATTTGACTTAAAATATTGTAAAGATAATTGAAACTATAATGTCAGGATCTGTCAATAATTTAAGCTTAAAATAGGTCATAAATACAAGAGCTGGTTTTATAAACAAGGAAAACTGAACAGGAGAGGAAGAAGAGAAAGAGTTGGGAAGGCATTTTCTGTGTTCTGTTATGCTCTTCGTTTTAAAAAATATTTTTCTTTGATCTTGTTATTCTCAAAAAAGAGCAGAGTCTCTTAAAGGAAATGGTATTCCTTTTTCTTGTTCAAATAGGAATAGGGTGCCCTATTGCACATATGTCTGCTGTGTTGACAATAGGAGAATGGGTGACAGTGCTTCAGGAAATGAGTTCTTTAACACAAATCAAAAGGAAAAAAGGTGGCCTCTGCTCACTACCTTCAGGCACAATAATCATAATATTTGAAATCAGGGGAAAGAGGAAAAGAAATTTGACGTGCTATAGGCAGTGTCTGTCAAAGATAAGTCAGAGCTTCTAGGAAAATTTGGAAGAAGACTGGCTTTTCAATGCAAATGTATAATTCTGTAAGAGCCACCAAAAAACACCAAAAATTGACCACATTTTTCCATATTGCTGAACATGTCAGTTATATTTGCAATAGGACTGTAGTATAGTTCAAAAAACACTTTTGCTTGTGTCTAACTGAGGCCTTATATTCTTTTACAGCACTATTACAATAGCCACATTATGGTGGAACATATTTTTGCATGTTAAATGTATTTCCTGTTTAAAACAGAAAATTTAAAAAATTATTGCAGTAATCCAAATTTTAAGCATATGAAGGCTTCTTAGGTACTTACCTTATTTTCTTTTTGCTAGAGGTTTTCATTTTGGCTCTTCTACTCTGCCTTTACTTGAGTTTATGGCATTTATCTACTAAATTATATTTCAAAAAAGTTAAAGTTTTCATTCTGAAGAAAATAATTAGATAACCAAATATTTATGTTCATACTATATCCATATCTCCACAACTGACAACTATTTTTTTCTTGCATGAAGTTTTAAGTTGGTTGTTTAAAAATCAAACTAGTTTTTTTCTTTTTGAATCATGATTGTAGAAAATATCAAATTTGTTTTTTTGTGATTCTTAAACCACAAAATAGCCTCTAAAAAATAAATGGTGTGGTAGTTATGTTGGGAGGTTCTAGAATGTTCTGAGGCAATGAGAATATTATAATTCTGGATCTGAATACTTACCACACAGCTGAATACAGATACAACAAATCATCACACTGTAAGTTTAGATTTGTATATTTTTACAGTATTTAATGCATACAGAAAGATAAAATGTAAAAGGAGAAAAATAACTAAAGGGGAAACCTAGACATAAGGTTTTCAGATGCATGGCAAACTAGCAATTTTGGGCCTCACAGCTCATACAGGTCTTTACGACCTTTTCCTATGCTTAGCTGATAACATGATTTTACAAATCACAGAGAGGTTAACTTGCCTTTTTTATTATTGGCACCTATCCATTTCCAAATTAAAAAAAAAAACGTATCTAGAAAGGAAAGTTAAAAAATCTGAAGAAAAGTCTACCATTCATTTCTCAGCTGAAACAAGATACAAGAATAGTTTCATAGTTGTTGGGAATTTTCTCAATGTGATCTTATATACTGTTAATAGCTTTCACTCCCAAATTCTGGGTCTCTATAGAATTATTACATCTGCCACAAAGGCAGGAGTAACTGTATGTGAGCCCTCTGCTCCCTGAATAAATATGGAAAGTTCATTTTATAAAAGAATCAAATTCAGTTAAGCCTATGATTAGGAATATAAAAGTTGGATTGTTTCCAGTATCAAATTGAACTTCATGCTGTATGTTCTTTTAAGCTACATTCATTTCTACTAGTATTATCTTCTAATTTCTCAAAGGTAAAGTTTTCAAAATTCAAATGAGATTTCCAGGTTGCCTGGTCTTGATTCACTTAAAGTATCCACACACATTTTGATTAGTTTTGTAGGATGAACATAATTTTTTTCTTAATTTGTGATTTGTAAATTGACAAGTTGTACAGGTATATTTTACAAGGCACAAACTGATGTTATGATTTATGAATACAACTAAAATAAATGAAGCTAACTAATTTATTCATCATCTCAGATATGTATTTTGGTGGCAAGAACATTTGAAAATTACTCTAAGTAATTTCAAAATGTGTAATGCGTTATTTATTAAATTTATCATACTGTGTAACATATCACAAAAAACAGCTTTTCCTTGTATCTAATTGAGGCTTTGTAGCCTTTTGCAGCATAATTTGCAATAGCCAAGTTATGGAGGAACATATTTTTATATGACGAAAATATTTCCTATTTAAGAAGCAGAAGAGAAAAACAGAATTTCATTATGGCAAAAACAATTTTAAGACCATGGATATTTTTGAGGTTCCTCAGTTCTTAGTAAAGTATTCATTTTTTTAAAAAAACTATAGATTTCTCCCTTTTTAGGAGTTAATGATACTAATCTCAACAAAATTGCATTTTCTTAAAAAAATAAAGCCTTACCCAGGCACCGGTGGCTTACGCCTGTAATCCTAGGTACTCAGGAGGCAGAGATCTGAGGATTGTGGTTCAAAGCCAGCCCAGGAAGGAAAGTCCATGAGACTCTTATCTCCAATAAACCACCAAAAAACCGGAAGTGGCACTGGCTCATGTGGTAGAGCGCTAGCCTTGAGCTGAAGAGCTAAGGGACAGCGCCCAGGCCCAGAGTTCAAGCCCAATGACCGACAAAAAATAAAAATAAAAATAAATAAAGCCTTCATGCTAGAGAAAAATAACTAGGTATATAACTAGATGCCTACACATCATATATATACACCTACAAAGGAACCTACAATTGACAGATATTCTGTCTAAATACTATTTAATCAATAATTTAAAACTCATTAAACACTATTTTTCTCAAAGAACCAGTGTTTGGGTTCTCAGAACAGTCCAGAAAAGATTGCTGCTTAAGTTAGTAAGGAAGGTGAAACATTGTATATTTAAAATAAGATGATTATGATAGCAAAATACTGAATGAAATAAAATTTTATAATTTTATTTTTCAGTTATTGTTTAAAAAGGCACACTTAATTACATGAAGAGAAAACTGATAAATAGCTTTTTTCTGGATCTTCTCAAATAGCCTATAGTTCTCAACACAAACAATGCAGAATAAATACAGAATAAAACCAAAACATGAATCATTTCACCAACCAGAAAGGTGTATTCTTAATATAGTGCTGTGTTTACTTCCAAGACTGAAAACATAATTTCACATAATTGTCAGCACACCGCACTGCTTTGTACCTTGAATTTCTCAACCACTGCTGTATTTTAATGACTTTGAAGATTGTCAGCATGGAGTCTTTATCCATTCTAACTTGAAATTTCAAACCTTTCTTCCTTTTAAACTGTGTGCCACAAATTTTAGTTTTTGTTTTTGCTTGAAGGGAATACAAAACAAACCATATAAAGAGAAGGGAACCAGGAAGGGAGAGTGAGAATGAGCAGAATATCAAGGGAGAGTTTGGTATATAGGGCCATAGTCAGAGAGAGGGCTTTGAACACAAAAAGGTGTATGAGAGACAAGAGCAGAATTAGGACTAGTAAACTTGTAGTACTGGAATCAAATGGGAATAAGCATATATAGATTTTTTCATCATTTGACTGATGAAGAAACAAATGTTCAGTATCAGTATCTTGCATAGGCTCAGAGATTATTTTCAGCAAGACCAGGAAGAGAACTTTTGATCTGCTGAATTCAATCCTAGTTTCCTTCATTGAATCATGGAGGTATGGAATAATTTTTGAGCAAGAAGTGTACACCATCTCTTTGAGGAATAAAAAAGGAAATGATAGGAAAAAGTTAATAGCTTAATGAATATCCTGATTTAAGGCTCATCTAAAGCTAGTTGGAACTCAGAAAAATTAGGGGAAGACAAAAAGGAAGGTCCTATTTGGTACAGAAAGATTAAAACTCCCCAAGCCACCACCCTTAGATGGGTTTTTCTAGTTTAAGAACTACTTTCTATAGGATTGTCATAATTCTAGAATGGATGCTAGAGTATATTGTCAACCCATCCATGTAGATCAGTAAATGAAAAGTCTGTGACGTTAATTAAGCACTTCCCCATTTGATGTAAAAAGAATGAAAGCTTATCACAATCAACTGTGATGATCACATCATTTATTGGCCATGAACAAAGATCCATGGATCTAAGGTATGATGTTAAAACAGGCTAGATCTCATGCCTGTTAGACATTAGTGTGGATAAGAGCTCAATGTTCCTCGTATACCCTCTCTTAGTGATCTTGTTCACAAGATTCAACTTGAGATCAGCACCATTGGTGGAAGTAAGGATAAAAGAAAAGAATCAAAAGATGGGAAATAGAATAAAGCATTGTGATGAAGTACTACAATGTTTACAATTTTTACCTATGACTACTCTTTTTATGAAAACCAGAAATTATTGCTGTGTGTCAAGCTTAGCCTTCAGTATTTAAATCAATATGTTTTGCTTAATACTAAATGGATTTTCATTTATTTCTCAAGTATTAGCTATCACAGTCTGGAAAGTAAGTTTTATGTGTTTTTCTTTGCTAAGACTCACCTTGACCTTATCCTGTCCCATGGACTTGAAGAACTTTCCAATGGATGTCCAGACCTGTACAATGCAGCTGGAAAGCTGTAAGTCACCACTTGTTGAAATGATTGCTTGCTTGTTTTAACCAATGATCTGACTCTTTTAGTGTGTAATTAAGGAGTAAATACCCATAAGACTCATTCTCTACCTATTTAGCAACATCAAGGTCCTAATGAAAGGACAGAAAAGTGTGTGTGTGTGTGTGTGTGTGTGTGTGTGTGTGTGTGTGTCTGTGTGTAGATAGGAGAAGCTCATTATCAGCATACCATAGACAACATTTCAAGTTAACATACTAAATAAATTGTCTTTCCTCATAAAAGCAGGTCTGATCTAGTAATCTTTTCTTTAAAATTAAAATGTCTCATTAGTCATTAAACTTATATAATGAATCACTCTAGATATCAGACTATTGAATTTCTTGTCATCTTATGACCATATACTTCCATCACTCCGGAGGGAACTCTTTCAGGAAGGGACAGTGTTTTTGAGAACATGCCGTAGAGGCCTCAGCCACATAAGGACACAAGAATGAGAGGTATGAGGACCAGGAATATAAATCTGTGGTAGAAAATGTGCCTAGCCTGAGGAAGGTTTTGAGTTTGATCCTCAAAAATAAATAAACAGAATGAAGTGCATGAACTGAGATGGGGTAAGACTGAAAAAGTGGCATCTTCCTTAGATAAGCAATGAATTCATAGAGGAATAGTGAGAGCAATGTCATCTATGTTGTCCCTTTTATGCCCTAGTTCAGTTGCCACTGAAGTCTTTGACATGAGCCATAAGCTGCTGATTGTCTTTTCAGTGAAGACACATGGAATTTCTTCTGACTTGCTCTTTCAGTTTCTCTGTTTGTAGAATGCGAAGAATAATAAGTATTACTGACCTACAGGGATGGTAGGAAATTTAATGAGGCAAGGGCAAGGAAATACTTTTAACTTTTTTGCTTAGGAAAATATTAAGTGTAAAAAGACAGATCAACTATTATTTTTTTTAAAAAAGAAATGGTGACAGAGTTTTTTTGATCATTTGCAGATGTTCCTTGAAACTTCCTCCAGAAATAAGCAAAACAATGAAACATCTTTGTTTTAAGACGCTGTCAGAGATAAAATAAGAAATTCTGATTATAATCAGTCTTATGTATTCATTATTTTCTCTATTGCCCCTTCTCTTGAGAAGGTGGTTGAGAAAAACACCTTGTTTAACATAATGATTCCTTCTTCATGTTTTCTTTGCTATCTATACTCTCCCTTGTTTCAAATCAACACATTTATTTTCTCTGTAAAACAGTAGCCATAACTGTCCACTGAGGCTCGTGCAAGGCTTAAGGAACTCCAATTAGTATGTATGCTTAGGTCTTACAGGACCTAGAAATAATGTAATCAATCAGCAATGAACTTCCTACTAACTTTGCATGTAAAGGGTGGAAATTGACTTTACTTTTTGCCTCAACATTTCTTTCTTATTTTCCACCTCTTTACCTCGTCTGTCTGCTCCATACCAAGGCTTCAGGGGTCTAATGACTATTTTTATCAAGAAGCTCACTATATAAAGGTATTTGTTGGAGGTAACCTGGATGTACATAGAATTGTTTTGAAGAAAGAGAGCCCTTTTCTTTGTGGACTTCCAATACTAATTATACAGGATGCCCTGCAAGTCCTTGCTTTCCATGTTTTTATTTTTGGTTGAATTTGAAAGATGATCTAATGAAAGAGGAAAGTAGATGCCAATTAAATTTGTTATTGATTTCTGGGTAGCTTGGGTGAGTCACTATCTTTCAGTAAACAAGAATAAGAATCTATGAACTTAATAAAGGTTATTGGCCAGCTCAAGCCACCTATCACATCCTTTGTCCTCATCCCTCTCATTTTCAGAGTTAAAGTATCACAAACAAAAATGGAGGTAAAAAAATAATGACTGAAAGAAGAGCTTCTGTCAGTTCTGGAATGGAGAAAGATGAAGAAACGCTTGACAAATAATGACCTAGTTAAGCAGGAGCTGGGTGTCAGAGCTAACTTGGGTTTATGAAACCATTAAGTATCTTACTTTGGATGGTTCAAGTCATATAACAATATGACCTTACATAACAGAGAATCTGTTTCACTTCGTATTAACAATTCTGAGACGTGAACTTACTTATCAAGACATTAGCATACATGATTCTTCTTTTTTGCCTATCTTTTCAGGTTATAGTATCTGGCTGAAAGCTTCCCCACTTGTTAAAGTAACTGACAGTTGACCTTCTATAATCCATATCATTTTCTCTAAGTAAAGCTAGTAGACCCTAGAAACAGGGTCACATCTGCAATGTTTTAAGCAGGCCTGTACTAAATTCATTTTCAGTAATACAAAGAATGGTTTCACTTGAACTACTAAGACTTATATCATGAATTGGATTATTCTACTGGACTGCCAAAGTAACATTTTTTTTTAAATAAAGACAGTCTTCAAAGGAAATTTTGTGTTTACTTGTTAGTTTTTCAGAGATAGCGAATAAAGGGGCAAGAGAAAATAGATTTTATAGATGCATCCTTTCATTACACAGAAATAGCTTGCCATATTCAGTTCCTTTGGCTCCAATGACATATAGCCATTGTGGCGATTACAGCTCTGTTACTAAGAATGCTTTTCAATGTGTCTGCTTTAGATGATTTCTTTATTTGTTTATTTACATGTCTAGCCTTTCAAATTTCTTTGAAAAGATACACTCAGTTTTTCACTTCTATTTCTCTACTCCAGTTGGGTACACAATGAATGACCTGATATTTGAGTGGTTGAGTGATGGTCCAGTACAAGTTGCCGAAGGACTGACACTGCCTCAGTTTATCTTGAAAGAAGAGAAGGAACTGGGCTATTGCACAAAACACTATAACACTGGTAAGTAAGTCCTCTATCACATCCTAAACCCAACTGGGCTCCATTGGTTGCTCAGAGTAGATAGGACATATCTTCTTATCTTAACCGATGCACATTTACCAAGCAAATGTAGCTCAAAAACCCCTTGACAGATACAATTCCTATACTCATTGGAATAGATCAGTGAGCACATAAATAATTTCTCCAAAACAAAGACAGAAAAGGAGAGAACTAGCGATCTTTTGTTATTCTCTTGCTAAACATCTGCTGTCAACTGAGTCTGCGGAAAGGTGTAGGAGACCACATTAGGGGTGCAGGAAACAAAGCCTGGCACATTCCTGACACCCATCTTTGTGTTGGATCCTGAGCTCAATTTGCATACCCAGCCTTAGTGGAAGAAAGCAGTAATACTGGGGTTTCATCAACCTGAAAATAGAGCTGTTGTGCTCCACAATCCTGGAAAACAATAGGAGCTTGGATGAACATCATTTAGAAACAACTCATCTGGTCCTAAAGTCATGTGTTATTAGTAGTGCTGATAGACATAGAGGCCATGGATTGGAGATAGTATCAACATGTGGGCATCTGTTGTTGCCTGGAAGATTATACTTCCCAGTAAAGTTGATTTATTTTCCTACAAATGCCTATGATATCACAGAGAAAGTTAATCAAGACATGATGGTTTGTCAAAGTAACTGGTTTGGGTCCTGTGCTGAGCAGACCAGCTTAAAGAGGGGAAAATGTGGGGGGAAGGCAGGAACATCTTCCTCCTCCTAGAAGGATGTTAAAAGGTTAATATCTTTATACTTACTCTTTCACATAGGTGAACTGACATTGTTAACAGTTTTGAGGAAAATTCCACATGTCCTCAAGCAATTACACAAAGGCTAGGGAATTTGTATAATGACTGAAGGGTATATATGGCTTCTAAAAATATACATTTTAGCCAAGCCCTGGTGGCTCACAAATGTAATGTTAGCTGCCCAGGAAGCTGAGATGTGAGGATCATGGTTCAAAGCTAGCCCAGAAGGAGAGTTCATTAGGCTCTTATTGCCAATTAACCACCAAAAATCCTAAAGTGGAATTGTGGCTCAAATGATGGAGCACGAGTTGTGAATAAAAAAGGCAAAAGAACATTCCCAGACCCCGAGTTCAAGCCCTGGTACCTGCACACAAAAATGTACATTTTTCTCTTGAATAAGTCAGTTATTCAAAATTTTTGAGCTCTCCTCTTACCACTAAGGATCAAGTAGTTTTAGTGATAACTTATTATATGATATATCTTAAATGAATTACATGCTATATAGTATATATTATAGGTCCTGTTTTATATGTTATGTAGTGCATATTTATAACGGAAAAATTTTGAATTCTTTACTTCCACTGGCAAGTTTATCAGTCTGAAGTTCTATCTAGAATATTCAGTCTGCCACAAGCATAGATTTAAAAGAAAATGAAATATTCTATATGAAATTAGTTAATAATTCCTTAATTAGTATGTATTAATCTTTAAAATGAGGGTTGTCATTGTTATTCATAAATATAATACCCTTTGATTATGTTCACCCTTTCTCTATTATTCTTTCTTCTCGTCCTCAACCCTCTTTTTCAACTTTCATGCAAAATTTTAATGGATTTCATTAAACAACTTTTGCATGTCCATACAAACCACTTCACTCATATTTTCCTCTGTCCTTTTTCCCCACCCACCTCCTACTGGTTTCCCAGAAACAGTCTCCAGGCTATGTTCATGTCCTAATTTATATCTACATTCCACATAGGAATGAAAACTTGCAGTATTTTTTGCCAGTCTGAATCTAGCCTATTTCACTGAACATGATTTCTAGCTCCATCCAGTTTCCTGCAAACACAAATTTGTCCTTCTTTATAGCTAGGTATTACTCCATTTTCCTATATACCACATTCTGTACACCACATTTTCAAATACAGCACATTTTCTTTATGAATTTATCACTAGATGGCCATCTTGTCTGCTTCCATAGCCTGGCTTCTATGAACAGTACTGCTAATAGCATAGATTTTAGGTATCTTTACTGTATGTGGAATTACATTCCTTTGAAGATGTGCCCAGCAGTGGTATAGCTGGAACATATGGCAGTCCTAGTTTTCATTTTTTTATTATTGTAAAGATATTGTGCAGAGGGGTTCCAGTTACATGAGAAAGGTAATGAGTACATTTCCTATTGAGCATTGTTACCCCCTCCTTTGTTTTTCCCCTACTATCCCTTCCCTCCCAACCTCCCCAACTCCTCCCTGACCCAAGTTGTAAAGTTTGTTTTCAAGATAGTGTCTTCCACATCTCATTGTTATAATGAGTCAATCTGTATCCTTGTTTTCATTTCTTGAAGAAAGGATCCTCCATTTTGATTTCCACAGTGGTTGTACGAGCTTACATTCCCAAGAACACTGTATGAGGGTTATTTTTTCTCCACATCCCCACTAACATTTTATGTTGTTTGTTTCCTTGATGATTGCCATTCTGACTTGGGTGAGATGAAATCTCAGTATTTAGTTTTTTCTAAAACATTTATTAGCGTATATTAGTTGTGCAAGGAGTTTCCCTGTGATATTTCCATACATGTGTACAGTGTAACCTGATCAAACTCTTCTCCTCTTTCTTGACTCCTCATTGCCGCTCTCCCATTTCTTAAATCAATTTCAACAGGATATTCCAGCCATATTTACTCTTATTCACCTTCTTTGGTGGCCATCTTAACTTTTACGGGTACTCCACACTCAAACAGAGTCTGTTTTACATGCCTATCATTCAGAAATTTTGTTCTCATTTTTATTACCTTTATAATTAAAGAATTTTGAATACTTCCTCATATATTGTCTATTTGCACTTCTTTTGAAAACAGAGCAATTTAAGGCCCACTTATTAATTAGAATGTTTGTCCAATGACCCTTCAGGTTACTCATTCTCACATTAGTATTTCTATTAGTAGTCGAATTAAAAAATAATCGAATAGATTATGTCATGAGCATTTTGGATTATCCCCCTAGTTCCATATGAATCTATTTTTAAAATAATGATAAAATAGAATTCTGAAATGGAAAGATCAATTCAAATTATAATTTAAATTATTATTTCTTACTTCTAGGAAAGTTTACCTGCATTGAGGTCAAATTTCACCTGGAACGCCAGATGGGATATTATTTGATCCAGATGTACATCCCTAGCCTGTTGATTGTCATTTTGTCCTGGGTTTCCTTTTGGATAAACATGGATGCAGCACCTGCCAGGGTTGCTCTGGGCATCACCACCGTCTTAACGATGACCACCCAGAGTTCAGGTTCTAGGGCGTCTCTGCCAAAGGTAAGAAAGCTTGCTTGGCGATGAATGAACTGAGAAGTTCACTGAAGTTCTTGTGGGGTAGAGAATTCTGTGAGGACAGAAATTTTGCCATCATTCAAGTATTATTGGACATGTGAGTGCGCTAAAGGGCTGAATTTGAGAGCATTAGGGCTCTGAGGATATAGGGAAATCGTCAAAATCAGCTTGGTTAGAGGAAAACAGGATCTAGATTAAGAGAGAAGAGGAAGGAAGAATACCAGATACATAGCCTGGGGATCTGAAGAAACCCTGGAGTGATTTTGACCTCAGATGTTTATGAGTCATGACACTTGTGGGAATTAGAGTAAGACAAAGGTAGCTTACATTGCATTCTTAACTATTTATTGGTGAGGCTATTGCAATCCAAATGTCCAGTGAAGTAATTTGCAACAATAAAAGTTGAAATTAAGATCTTGGAAGCATCTATAGGAAATGAATGCATAATATTAGGGTGAACAAAATCAGATAGATGTATGTTTGCTAAACCTTAATTCCTTTAGTGGTTGATTGGGTCTTTTTTAATCTTATTTTGATTGGTTATTTTTGACTGACATAGTTACTTAGAGAAGAAATAGTGGACTGTCTCAAAGTTGCAAAATAAAAGAGGAACAGAAATGGTGGCAGGTTAACAGAGATGCATGGGGTGAGTTTCAGGGGCACATACACATTTTGTATCATCGAAAATAATGCTTCATGCAAGACTGTATGATCCATTCTTATGAAAGGCAGGCTGTCTTCATTTGTAAATATTGCTTAAATAAGTAATGATAAATGTACTTCTTGTGTGCTTTCTCCTTTCATAGAGCATAGTGAACCATTGACTTTGATTTTCCAGTTTAGTATTCAGTGTACTCTGTCTCACTCTGGTTGAGCAGTCTCTCCAAAATCCAGTTCCAGGAAATAATTGAGATGTAATCCCTTGCCTTTGCTGGCTTGAGCTTATGCTCAGTTTTGCTGCATTTGACATGATGAGGAGTATTAGATCATGTTCTATATTATCTCCTATGTTTGGAACATAAGATGACAATACTGAGAAGGTCTGTGATTAGAGTATAGGTGGATTAAATAAATACAGGGGAAATAATAATGCAACTTAATCAAGTTCCATGTCTCCAAAGATAAATATTCACTTTTTAATGCCCATAAAGAAACACACAGAGCTGTCTCTGATACCTTTTGCATTTTCTAGAATAACAAATAATATAATGCACTCATGTCATATGTTTACTGGAATACAGATGTCAGAAATATTAACTGCTTTTTCTTCAGCTACATAATCACAGACCAATTTGACTGAATAGAAACCCTAACCTATATTATGCCCCCATCCCAGACACATTCATTTGCTCATGTCTCTGTAGTTTTTAGTTATTGCCATCACTGCATGCCATCTCATTAAACCTCAGGATGCACAACCATATACTTTACAATTTAATAGGAAGATCAAGTATTAGTGACAAACTGTGAACAGATAATGTCAAAATATGAGTTAGCCTTCAACTGCCCATTGCTATGAGCAGAGAAGTCATTTATTATCCCAGAGAGAGCTTGCATTGAAATTCATTTGTTATTCATCTGATGAAGCTATTAGGATTCTGTATCAATAGTCAAAACCATTTCTAACTAAGTGGTCACTGACAAGTGCTCTTTTTATGCAGATGTAATCAAGAGTGCAGATAAGCCAAAAGAGGATATAAATCAAGTCACTGAATACTTAGTTCTGAACTCATGGTTGTTATTCTTTTGCCACTAGCAAGTTTCTCTTCTTCTGTATACTTTTCCTAGGCTGTTACAAACCACGGTTGGCTCTCAAGTGACTGAGAGGAGATATGACTCATATAGATGGTGGTGAGAAACCAAAAGGGGATACAAAATGACTCAGGAAAAATAACAAGTTGACCACAGGCTTACTTATATATCTGCATCCATACCAAATACTCATCTCAATTTATAAACTGTGATCCCTAAACAGATAACTCCACTGTGCTATTTTGTTGAGCTGCTCCAGTGCCTACTGCAACACACGTTTGTACAGAGTAAATGTGCACACTGCAATTTAGAAATGAGGCATGCTAGCCAAGCACCAGGGGCTTATGCCTGTAATCTCAGCTATTCAGGAGGTTGTGTGCATGAAAGTATCAGGGCTACAACTCAGGGCCTCAGACCTCTTGCTTTTTCTTTCTTTTATGGTTAAGGCTAGCACTCTATCACTTGAGTCACACTCCCACTTCCAGCTTGTTGTTGATTAATTGGAGATAAGAATCTACAAACTTCTGCCTAGGCTGGCTTCAAATCATGATCAGCAGATCTCAGACTCCTGAGTAGCTAGGACTACAGGTGTGAGGCATTGGTGCTCAGTGTAAGCAGTCTTAATTTTAGACATTTATTCCTATGAGAACAACTTCATTGATTTTGTTCTTGTTTATATATATACAACACACGGTTCATAGTAGGTGCTTAGTTTAACGGTTAGTGAATTAATGAACGGTATAGAAAATACTTATAGTTCAATGGTATTCCCAGTATAATTTAATTTGTGATTCATCCATCCATAGATTTTTTTCAATTAAAACTCATTGAGTGTTTAATCTGTGCCATGCATCACATTGGGAATCAATCAATAAAGAAAATACAGTACTTACTCTCAGGGGTTTGTAATCTGGTGGGCTAGAAACAGGCATTTGGAATGTTGATTATTAAACAATATGGAATAGGAGGACCTAGCAAGGAGGATGCCTAATCTATTAAGAGAAGGAGGGAGTTATGGAGGGAGGAAAAGAGAAAGGGAGGAAGCAAGAACAGTGTAAGGAAAATGGCCTGGAGGAGGGAAGCTGAGCTGACGCTCTGAAGCATATGAAGTAGGTGAAGGAGGAGGAAATAAAGGTCATTTCAGGCAATGAGGACCTTTTCCTAATAATATTTGGGCTACATTTATAAAATAAGGTTTTGAGAAGGCAATCTGGGCAGGTTTCCAGCAGGTTTCACCCAATTTTAAACACATTTCAAGTAAGAAACTTGTATTTATGGACTCCAACATCGTTTCATGCCTTCCTGCCAACCGAAGCTTTTTATTTTTTGTTTTGTTTTGCTTTCAGAAGTTCAGCCCCTTCCCTAAATACAGGAAATCAAATGCCATAGGTATTTTCCCATTTGAAGCTGTATAATTGGTTTTTAAATATACATCTGTGCCCACCTCCAAGAAGTGGTTCTTCTGGCAAGGTTCTAACCATCTGGAGCATGAAACCCCCACTGGCCGACTAAAGGCTGGGTGTATTGTTGCCTTTTCAAGCTACAGGAAAATATCAGGAGAAATTGAATGGGAGACTGTGACACATTAGTCAGACTTGATATCCAGTAGAGATTAAATAATTGTTTTCCTTCATTCCATGTTTGTTACTGTAGCTGCATGATTTATAGCTACTCTGAAGTACAACTTGAATTCTCATTTGTGACCATAGTCCAGATACTGTGAAGATAGGACAAGCACTGGACAGGGACAGCAGGGAGGTGCAGGTTTGCGGGTGATTCTGACAGGTCCACAACCATTTCCTTGGAGCAAAAATGAAGAGGCAGTGTCTTTAGCCATTATTAACTGTGATGCCCTATTTTCTGCATAAGGAAATTTCCCCTTCATTTTCAGCCATCTGGTCAACTAAGACCAGCTGGAACATTTTAAGCAGCTGCCAGGCCAGGACAGGCGTGGAATTTAAAACAAAAAGAGACCGTAGTCTTCCCATGTCTAGTCTTGCCTTACTCCCCACCAGAATGCTTCTAACTAGAGACTGCAGTGAGAGATATTGTTCAAGCAATAAGAGTGCTAAATACAGGAGTTTTAAATTATGAAGTTGTTTGGATGTCTGTTTTATCACTACAACATAAGGATAATTGCTGCTTGAGTCAGATACATCCTCAGCTAATTGCCATGACTTTGCTAGGTCAGGTGTGTGTGTGTGTGTGTGTGTGTGTGTGTGTGTGTGTCTGTGTGTGTGTGTGTGTGTGTGTGTGTGTGTGTGGCTGGGAATAGTTAAGTTTGATAAATTATCAGAATTTTATGAAATCTTGGATAAAAGATTAAAAAGGAAGAAAGCTAAGCTTCCATAAATTCATCTGTGGGCCTGCTTACTTTTTAGCCAGATGTCTACATACAAGGGAGACTTTATAAACGTTTCCTTCTGACATTTCCTAAACCACAGCAAATTGAAGAGCCATTGATGCAGGAAGTGTGTGATAAAAATATGCAGAGATGACATGTGTGAATTCCCTTGGGACAGAGCTGGTGCATTGCTGGCACTTTAGTTTAAGAATGTTGTTGGGGGGAAAAAAAGAATGTTGTTGGAAAGTTTTGCAAGGAAGTTGACAGTAGAAATCACACAAGCTTTGTTTCTTCTCAAATCCTGGGAAGGCTTATACATTTTTTTTTGATGAGGGTGGCATTTGAGGTCCAGGATTACTTTTGAAATCTTTATTCATTTCAATAAAATTGTCAACTCTGGCTCATACAAGCAAAATGGCTTTTGTCTTCTAAATACTTCACAGTGGGGGGGGGGAGAACTAGTTGTAGAGGATGCAACACAATGAGAGGGACTGTGTTACATGTTCAGGAGACAGCTAAGAAGAGACAGAGATTCTTTCCTTTATAAATGACATGTAAATGAAACTTTTTTGGTAAAAATGACTATGATAATTCCTTTCCCTACTGGCACATCTTTATTTAGCTTCTCTTACGTTGATTGAATACTTGGCCATATGACTTATTCTGGACCGTAGGCTATGGAAAATATGGCATAGATACTTGAAGACTGATTTATAAAGAGATTTGAAAAATGCATATTGAGCAAGCTCTCCCCTCTGTTTTTGTGATCCTTTGACCACCATTCAACAAACAAGGCCAAAGCTAGATAGTTGAATAGAAGATACATGACCCAGTGCTTTCAGTCACCATGGTGACCACCAGCTAACCATCAGACAAATGAGCCCATCAA